CGGGGGCAGAGCGGCTGGGGTGCTCCCCCCCCGGCTCCCCCAACCCAGCCGCTTGCTGTTTCCAGCAGCAGCTGACATGGGGAAATCTGGGGCAGAGCTGCTGGGGTGCTGCTCGGTTGGTCCCGCAGCACCGCTCCCTCACCCCACCCCACCCCAGACCTCTCATAGCTCCCCCTTCCGATAGTCCGGCATATTTTATAATCCGGCACCCCCTGGGTCCCAAAGGTGCCGGATTATCGGAAGTTTACTGTATATGCAATCAACTTGGGGTGAGGGATTCATGAGGAACTAAATTAATGGGGTTTTGTACATCTTTTCTGTGATATATTTTTGTGCCCCACATGTAGGTATTTACCTTAAACTTAAGTGATTTAGCCCTGGCCTTCTGCTTTTGCCATGCATAACAGACTGATCACTGTTTCTGATAGAGGCATGAGTTTCATAGAGAGGAAAATAAATGTCTCCTTCTCAGAGATTTGCAGAGCAGCAGAGGCAAAGATTCCAGTTTCGAGCGAGAGACAGAATTGTATACTTACAGTAGAAATGTTCCTTTTCCACATGTTCTTTGATGGCACCTTAGACCTCTGCAGAATGAGCAGTTTTGTTGTAAACTTCAGTCATGTTGTCTTGGCATTTCATCATGATTCATAATTAAACAGCATTTTGTAAAATAACCTGTAACATTAATTGAAGGCTGCTTTCCTTTTTCAGGGAACTGAACACAAAAACCAACTTGAAGTTCATTCATACATCTTTCCATGGTGTTGGGCATGACTACGTGCAGTTAGCTTTTAAAGCATTTGGTTTTAAGCCACCCATTCCAGTACCTGAACAAAAAGATCCAGATCCAGATTTTTCTACTGTCAAATGTCCAAATCCTGAAGAAGGAGAATCTGTGCTGGTATTTATTTCTTTAGTTCAGTCACTTAAAAAAAAAGGGGGGGGGGACAGAGGGGTTTCCACTTGTTTTGAAATGTAATAGTCAGAACTGAGTATGTACGAATGTCAGCAGTTAATACACTTGAGGACTACAACATAGTTGATTACCTGCATATAATTTCTAAATGGCCTTTTTCAGGAGTTGTCTTTGAGGCTTGCAGAGAAAGAAAGTGCCAGGGTGGTGGTGGCCACTGATCCTGATGCAGACAGATTGGCGGTGGCAGAGCTACAAGAACAGTAAGAAATGGGACCTTTCATTTTAACCTTACCTTTGAGAGAAATGTATGGGTGGTGGTGGTGGTAGGGAACTAGCTACTCCATGTTCTTGTTGATAGTCACTTAGATTTATCACTTTACTCCTTAACAATGTGACATTAGATCATATTGAGATGTTTTTACTAGTAAAGTCTTCATTTTTTTCTGTTATCAAAATGATGCATTTTAAGGAAGATTAGTTAAACCCTGTCACTAAAGATTTGTCATGAAAAGTGATTGTAAACATAATATCTGTGATGACCATATATTTTTACTACTTTTTGGCACACCCTGTTGAATCAATACAGCTATGGTAGAGTGAGCTGGATGTTAACATACCTGAATCCTCAATGGTTGTTAACTTGCAAAGCAGAACTAAATCCTGGCCAACCCATTTGCTTATGCAACCCCATTGAAGACAAAGGGATTGCACAGGCGTAATTGCTAAGACATTATTATTGGTGACTGGTTCTTTCTGGGTTATTTAGGGCTGTCAACGGGGATGCACATTTTAACTTGTAAACAGCAAATTTGGGGTGGAAAGCATTGAGACAAGATAGCACAGAGCCCTGTTAGGGTGTGTCTAGATTTCAGGTTTTTTTCGAAAAAAGTGGCCTTTTTTCAAAAAAACTTCCCCTGCGTCTAGACTGCTACCGCATTCTTTCAAAAGGAAATTGAAAAAACTGCTGTGTGTTCTACCGTGGAATACCTCATTTTATGAGGAATAACGCCTTTTTTCGAAAGTGCTCTTTTGAAAAAAGGCGCTATGTAAGGCAAACTGTGCTTTTTCAAAAGAGAACATCCAGACTGCCTGGATGTTCTCTTTCGAAAAAGCGGCTTGCTTTTTCAAAACTACTGGTTGTAGTCTAGATGCTTTTTTTTTTTTTTTGAAAGAGGCTTGCAGTCTAGACTTAGCCTTAGTGTGCTGTTCATGGAGCTGATTTTTTTAGGGTAGAATGACAGCTTGTTCACTGAATATGTTGTGCAATCTTTGACTCATAATGCATGCTCCTGAGAAACTTACAGGAAGTGATTGATGCTGTTTCCATCCTGTTTGCAGTGGTCGTTGGAAGGTATTCACTGGCAACGAGCTGGCTGCTTTGTTTGGGTGGTGGATGTTCAGGAGCTGGAAGGTCAACAGTTCCAAAGAAGCTGATGTGAAGAGCGTTTACATGTTAGCAACCACAGTCTCCTCTAAAATTTTGAAGGCGATTGCACTTAAAGAAGGATTTCACTTTGAAGTAAGGGTGGCTTATGTGTGGTGTAATCCCCAGGTGTTACATTCAGGAGGAATATTATAGCCATTGCTATCATAACTGATTCTGTTGCCTTGTTACATCCACCTCCAAAAAAGTCTTTTACTCATTGCTTCATTTGGGACTGCCAGTTTACCCATTAGATCTCATTTATCTACCTTGCAGATTAGCATGTGTGCTTCCTGCTAATCCATGTTGCAGAGTGTGCAGACTGTAATATCTGTCTGAAGAGTTGGAAGGTGCTCTGGTGAGGCAGTTTGATGCCCTCTAGCTTTAAAGAATTGCTCTCTAGCCTTAAAGAATTGCAAGGTTAATTTTTGGGTTCAGTATCCTAAAATGGGTCTAATAACTCAAACCTCTGCCTTTAAGAGGGGAGTCCATTTTTATTGTGTGGCGATGGGGAGCATGTGCAAAAATTGTTGTGCACTCAGATCTGTGACATGAAACCTAATCAGTAGAGTTTAAATTTACATAAACTATATTTGACGGGTTCGGTCACAGAGATCCCCTTGAGACTATCATTTGATATGCTGAAAATACAACTGAGCATACCTACCTGCCCTATGGGGTGCCCCCTCACCTTGTCCTGCTGGGCCAGAACCTCTGGTCTTCCCCCCACAATGGCAGTGTTGGGATCACAGCCAATAGCAGAGCAATGAGAGCAGCTCAGCTCTGGGAAGGCTCAATTACAGGGCTTGACACAGCACTCAGGTGCACAGCACCAATGGGACTAAAGCCCCAGATAGAGCCGTCTTACTCTGCATAAAGTTGAAACAGAGTGAGCTCATAAGTTGTTTGCCCCCTTTATCAATGAAAGAGAGAGATGCACAGCTTTGTCCCCCTTTTCCTGGTAACAATTATTTACACTGGGTTTACTAATGAAAGTGATTTTTAAGTGTAAAAAGTAGGATTTAAGTGGTTGTAAATTATAAGACCGATCAAAGTAAGACATTAAAATAAAACCAAACATGCCAACTACACCTAATATCCTAAGAGAAGTTGTTACAAAACATAATTTCTCACCCTAGTTCTTATTTCAGGTAAAGTCCTGCTCAGGCCTGAGGTGTTCTTTCTGACCTGTGTAGAGCATTTCTTGTCCACCCCGTCTTAGAGTTCTTTAGAGGATTTTTTTTGTTTCTAGGTGTATCCTCTTGGGGTGAGGAGGCAGTCTGTGAAGACAGCTGAAGATAAATCCTTGTTTATTATATAGAATTTCCCAAGGTGGGAAATTCCCATACCTCTATGGAAAAGTACAAAATTCAAGATGGATTCCATTCCTGCACTGGGAGACATGATCACATGTCTTTGTAGGCTCAACCATAGTCCAGGCTCACAGGAAAAGCAAGACTATTCATGGATCATTGTTCCAAATACTGGGCCATTAAGTTCCATAATTACCACTAATGGTCCTCAGTTTGTCTAGATCTATTCTTCATAATTCTAACTTCAAATCCAGGAATGATATAAGCACACAAATAGAATATACACATTCAGCAGATTATAACTTTCAAAGGGACATGTTATGTGAAATATTTTGCATAAAATATATTCATATTTATAAAAATATTTAATAAAGAATATGAAATATATCATTCAATATTTTTATTTTGATTTGACACTTGAGGTTTGAGCTAGATTTTAGTTAATTGTAATAATGTGATTGGGACTGTCCTGTGACACTAATCCTTTTTTATTTTCTGTCACTTCCTCACATACTTAAAAAAAAGAGGGGCTGCTCTGAAGGGAACCACTTTTCTTGTAAATCCAATACAAGCAATGGATTTTGTTCAGATTCCTAGAGCTCTGTGACTATCATGTTTGAAAAAACATATTAAATAAGATTCTGGTCTTGTTTAGTATAATTGTGTCAGTTAGGACCGTATGAAAACCCTAGAAGATTTTTTTCTATTTTGTCAAACAATGAAGAGCAAAAAATCCTAAAATATGTATGAAATTACTATCCTATAGTGCTGTTAATCTACTTAAGTGCTGCCCTCTAGTGAACATTCTGGAGTCTGTCACTAAATACTGTATTTTGAGTTGGAAAATATTTATTCTAGAAATATATGTGATCCATTGTCATAATTTCAATCAAGAGTTCAAAAAAAAAAAAAGAGTTCTGCATTCACTATTGCTACTTGAGTTGTGTATAGTTGTCTGAAAACGTCCACTCCGGGTTACCGCATCTCAAACAGAATTGGAAAAGTTAGAGAAAAGGGCAACCAAAATGGTTAGGTGTATGGAGGAGCTTCTGTATGAGGTGAGATTAAAAAGACTGGAACTGTTCTTTTTATAAAAGACAACTAAGGTGATAGGTATGATAGAGGCCTATAAAATCCTGAGTGGTTTGGAGAAAGTGAATAAGGAAGTGTTAGTTGCTTATAATACAAGAACCAGTGGTCACCCCTTGGAAATTAATTGGCAACAGGTTTAAAATGAACATAATGAAGTACTTTTCACACAGCGCACAGTCAACTGTGGAACTTGTTGCCATGAGATTTTCTGAAGGCCAAAAGTACATCTGGTTTAAAAAAAATATATAAGATCCTGGTGGATAGGTCTATTAGCCTAGATAGTCAGGAATACAACCCATGCTCTGGTTCTTCCTAAACTTCTGAATGCCAGAAACTCAAACTGATGAACAGGGGAGGAGTTCATGGGTGGTCAGTATTGTAGGCAAAGCAAGGGTAGAGCCTTCCCAAAATTGCCTACATAACCGCCTACAGCTAGGGCCACTGCCAGGGAAGGCTGGGGCGGCAGCGCACCAGCCTGACTCCTGGCCGCCGGGGAAGGCGGCCCAGCTCAGCAGCCCGGCTGCCTGGGAGCAATGAGCTGTGATGCAGCAGCCGGGTGGAGAGAGAGAGCTGCTGGGCCAGGACTGCAGCACGCAGCCACAGCTCTCCATATGGCCTGGAAGGATCGGGCTGGTAATAATCATGGCCTCAGGAAGAAGGGGTGGGCCTGGGGCTTGCCTGTCGCCTTTCACCCAACACACATGGAGGAGTAACTCGATAAATTATTAAAGTATAGAGAATAAGACAGAGAACATCTTATTGCCTCTCTAAAAAACCATGAGACGCCCACATCTTGAATACTACAAATAGATGTGATCACCTCATATCAAAACAGATATATTGGTGTTGGAAAAGGTTCAGAAAAGTGCAACAAAAATGATTAGGGGTTTGGAATGGGTCCCATATGAAGAGAGATTTAAAAGGTTAGGACTTTTCAGCTTAGAAAAGAGGAGACTAAGGGGGAATATGATAGAGGTCTATAAAACCGTGACTGGTGTGGAGAAAGTGAATAAAGAAAAGTTATTTACTATTTCCCATAACATAAGAAGTAGGGGTCACCAAATGAAATTAACAGGTAACAGGTTTAAAACAAACAAAAGGAAATTTTTCTTCACACAGCACATGGTCGGCCTGTGAAATTTCTTTCTAGAGGATGTTTTGAAGACCAGGATTCAAGAAAGCACTAGATAAATTCATGGAGGTTAGGTCCGTCAATAGCTATTAGCCAGGATGGGTAGGAATGGCATCCCTAGCCTTTGTCAGAGGCTGGGAATGTATGACGGGAGAAGGATTACTTGATTTCCTGTTCTGTTCACTCCCTCTGGGGCATTTGGCATTGGCTGCTGTCCGAAGACAGGATACTGGACTAGATGGACCTTTGGTTTGACCCAGTATGGCTGTTCTTATGTCCTGTTCTGTTCATTCCCCCTGAAGCCTCTGGCACTGGGCTGGATGGACCATTGATCTGACCCCATATGACCATTCTTAATTTTATTTGGTTTACCAGCGTTCTCTGGTCCTGTTGATCATGAAATTCTTTTGCATCCTTTTACCTTTTCAGGTTGTCAGATATTCCAGGCCTTCTACTTTTGTCTTCATACAAAAAAGCATCCGGGGTGAATAGTGTTAATTTTACGTGAAAGCAGCAAATGTTCCCTGTGTTCCATTATTCTAGTAGTATCAACTTTTATAGAGTGGCCTCTTTATTTTTCAGGAAACGTTACCTGGTTTTAAATGGATTGGAAGTAGAGTAAAAGATCTCCTAGACAATGGGAAAGAGGTTCTTTTTGCATTTGAAGAGTCTATTGGTATGTACAATATATTAAAATATTTTAATGTGGAAAACTAGTAAACAGTATTCTTTCTGCTAATGTACCTTGGTTGTGACAAGGAATCCCTAGGACTTGTTTCTCTTTGCATTTTTTGAAGTGCATGTTGTCTTAACATCTTGTTTACTAATATTGACAATCAGAAGATCTGTAGCATTGATATAGAATTCTGAAGGACCAGATTAAATTAATGTCTAGTCTTTAGTTCACTTGATAACATTCTCTGTAATGGATGTTGGATTTTTGCTTTGCTTTGCTTTTTATTAATCTTTTTGCTGACTGAGCCACTTAATGACTATTTTTGATCACCTTACTGAAAAGTAAATTAATCTGCTTGCCAAATATGTTCACTTAACACTGTCCTTTGAAAGAATGTTGGAAATGCGTAATGTCTAACAGTTGATTCATCCTCTCAGAACTAACTGTACCAGCAGTACATTGACCAATTGCCACTTCTACTAAAGCTCCTTACTGATGCATCCTTATGTTAAGTTCCTGTCTGCATTGCAGGGTCCACTTTACTTTGTACCTTATGGACATAAGAATTTCCATACTGGCTTATCTTAGTGATCCATGTAGTCTAGTATCCCATCTCCAACCATGGCCACAACCGGTTCTTCAGAACAAGGTGTAAGAAATCCAGTAGAGTACACTTCTGAAGTATTCTGTTTGTTGTAGAAGATAATGCCATACAGGGTCAGATCAAAGGTCATCTAGTCCAGTATGCTGTCTTCCAACAGTGGCCAATGCCAGGTACCCCAGAGGGAATGAAAAACAGGTGATCTATCTCCTGTCATCCATTCCCAGCTTCTGGCAAAAAGAGGATTGGGCATCATCCCTGCACATCCTGGCTAACAGTGAAAACACTAGAGAGATAAGATGGATGAGATTATATCTTTTACTGGAACAACTTCTTTCAAGCTACGCAGAGTCAAACTTGAAGAAGAGCTCTGTGTAGCTTGAATGCTTTTCTTTCACCTTGTCTTTCTAATATCCTGGGGCCAGCATAACTACAACATCTCTAAAACACTTACTTTTCTATTGGGTAGCTTATAGTATTTCTAAAGTTGGCACATCTTCTGTAGTATCTTTCATCTGAAGCTCTCTGAGCACTTCACAAACAAAGCCTCTTGACACCCTTTAGAGGGAGATAAGGACTACATAGGGAGCCCTTCAGCTATGGAAATTCATCCACCTCTTGAATGGAACATGGCAGCAGATTAGCAGCACATAGAAGCATATCAGTGTAGCACAGGAACTGTATCCAACTTAAGTGAAATTGGAGATTAGGGAAGCAGAGTGCAGCCAAATTGTATTGGCACAGTCCTACAATGAACATCCCTGAGCTTACATAAAATGTAGAAACCTTTAACAACTGCAAGGTGTTAAGACCTTGGTTTTTAGATGTGATCCCAAGGACTATACATCTGACAGCACTGTGGGGCATTGGTTTATGATTGACTTGCAGGACTAGTGCTGCTTACTAATTCACGGGCCACACTTCCTGCAGCACACAAGTATACTTCTCAAACCAATCCTGTGTAGTGTGTGATATCTGAGGGAGATTGTAGCTTAGAATCATAGAATAGTAGGACTGGAAGGGACCTCAAGAGGTCATCGAGTCCAGCCCCCCGCCCTCAAGGCAGGACCAAGCTCCATCTACACCATCCCTGACAGATGTCTATCTAACCTGTTCTTAAATATCTCCAGAGAGGGAGATTCCACCACCTCCCTTGGCAATTTATTCCAATATTTGACCACCCTGACAGTTAGGAATTTTTTCCTAATGTCCAATCGAAACCTCCCCTGCTGCACTTTAAGCCCATTACTCCTTGTCCTGTCCTCAGAAACCAAGAGGAACAAATTTTCTCCTTCCTCCTTGTGACACCCTTAGCATGATACGGCTTCTGTCTACCGTCTACCTGAAACTGATAAGTTGTTCCATGCATCTTCCCACCCCTATAACTCTTAGGCTGGCTAGCTTACTGGGCAGGTGGGCGTAGCTTATGCATAGAGTGGTACAAGTTGGAGGTGTGTCTAGTCTTGTGTGCACAAAGGGCACCTGAAGTTTAACACTTCGCCCAAGTAAAATAAATGGTAATATATGGAGAGCACTTCTCTGAACATTAGTCTTATGATTGTCAGGTTTCATGTGTGGCACATCAGTGTTGGATAAGGATGGCGTGAGTGCAGCTGTGGTTATAGCTGAAATGGCATCTTATCTGGAAACCAAGAACCTAACATTGGCACAGCAACTAACTGAAATATATGAAATGTAAGTTCTGTTTTAACATGCTCTACTTTCCTTCGATTTTTTTTTTTAAGAGCTTTGCATAATCAAACATAATTTTCTAAGCGCTATCAAAATCAGAATAGTATCTGTCACTTGCTAATAGGACATATTTCTTTGGTACAAAATAAGTGCAATATAAAACATTTAACAAGATATAAATGTAAATTACATTAAATATGCATGTATTGTTCAGAAAAATATGATGCCTGTCAACTCTGATTCAGATAGGCAGGGACGATAAAAAAACAAAACAAACTTGACTACTAGAATAAATACCTGAAAGAGTCCTATTAGCAAGGATGATGTTTATATTTGTCATCTTTGGAAATCTACTATTAAATGAGTTTAATTATACACTTCTACCTACTAATTTTTGCTTGTTTAAACATCTTGCAAGAGAAGTTCTGACCTCTTGTTGAGGTTCTTTTCGTATCGTGTTTAAGGAGAGGGGGCAAATTAAGTATAGAAATACAGGCAAAATCAAGGGGTATATAGGGACTAAATGCAATCCCATATTTAGGGTATATATTTGATTTTTTTCAGAAAATCACAAGATTTTTAAAATTAACAATGAACTCTTCACCTGAAAATTTATTCTTAAACTAAGCCTTTTGGGAACGTGCTTTTTTTTTTAAAGTTAACTACCTGTAATTTTGTAAAGTGCTTGGAGTGTAAACTATCTTGATTAATGCTGCTTTATTTCATGCAAAATACAGAGCCCTCACAACTGCTTTCAGTCTGACCATCTCTTGCTACAGGCATAACTTCTGACTATGTACCTTCAATAGCTTTCAGTTATGATTTTTCTGAGTTGTACTTGGTTTACCTTATCCTCTTTTTGCCTCCAGTACAGCATCTGTCTTGCTATGATGTTTGGTTCCTTCCTCTTTGTGTACCTTCTTCATTTCCATTTTGTTCCACCATTTCCCATCTTATCATGGTTTAAAGGTGCTACATAAATGTAAAAACAAATTACTTTGGGGATGCTAAGAAAGTTTGCTAGTTAACAGATTGAAACAGGTTGGTTGGGCCCCCCCACACTCAACAGCAGTGGGGAGGAAACAGAGTGAGGCGACTCCAGCCCTCTCAGCTTATCCAGCCATGTAACTCTGCTTCCTATAGTTGAGAGAGTAGGGGGGCAGTTCTAAGTCCGGGGGGGGGGGGGGAGTGGAGTAGGCCAAGGCTGTGTTTCTCTACTTCCCATCGCTGTTGGTGAGTGCAGTAGGAGCCCAACACCTAGTGCGGGTGCCAGGTCCCCACACTGCTAGTCTCCCAGGCCTCTCGGGGTGTGTCTAGACTAGGGTTTTGTCAACAAAGGTGGACTTTTGTTGAGCAAACTATACCTGCGTCTACACTACCGCAGTAAGTCGACAGAACGTGGCAGTTTTGTCGATGGCAGTAAACCTCATTCTACGAGGAATAACACCTTTTTTTTGACAGTTATGTCGAAAAAAGGCGCTATTACATCCACACTGCTTTTTCAAAAGAGAGCATCTACACTCTGTTGAAAAAGCGGCTTGTTTTGTCGACAGAACTGGCTGTAGTCTAGACACTCTTTTTCGACAGAGGCTTTGTCGACAGTATCTGTCGACAAAGCCTCTGTTGACAAAAGCCTGTAGTCTAGATGTACCCTCAGGCTATGGCTCCTTGCCCCTCCTATCCACAGCATTTGGGGGCATGCGCCAGCAACACCCATGCAAGCTGAAGTTCATCACATTCGGTGGCCACTTAAAGGAATCATTTAAAACTTTGAAATTTGCAGTTTAATCACAGGGGAAATGGTGCATTTTTGTTTCAAGTTTTGAAATTCTGGGTTTATATCAATATTTGAATCACTGCTACTTTTCCCAAGTATCTTTTTCCAGATACCTAATTCTGCCTGAGTCTCTATTATGCTAGATCAGTGGTCCCCAACGCGGTGCCCGCGGGCGCCATAGCACCCGCTGAGGCATTTATGTGCGCCCGCCGAGTGACCAGGGCTGGCCCAAGTCATTCTTGCGCCCCGGCTCCCGGGCGCATGGCGCATGAGCAGCCCCAAAAGGTTGGGGACCACTGTGCTAGATGCTCATAGGTTTCCTGAGAGATTAGCTTCTAAAAAGGAAGTGGTAGTCATTTATTAATTTGAAAATAATGTTGCTGCTGTTGCTTTGTCCTGTGGATTAGCTTGTGTTTTTAAATGTCTCCCATCAAAATGATACTGGACACTATTCTGATTGCTGCTGTACTGAGCTCACTCTGTCATGTGTAGACTGTGGCAGGACTAACTCAACAGAGCACAATAACAGGATTGGAGAACTAATACAGTGTGCGTGGGTTGGAAAGAGGAGGAGCAGGGTGGAGTGACAACAGAAAGAGGTGGAGTAAGGGTGGGGTTTTGCATGATGGGTTGGAGTGGGGGGCGGGGCCTGAGGCGAGGCAGAGGTTGCACATCCCCACGGGGAGGAATAAGTCAGTGGTTTGAGCATTGGCCTGCTAAACCCAGGGTTGTGAGTTCAATTCTTGAGGGGTCCATTTAGGGATCTGGGGCAAATCTCAGGGATGGTACTTGGTCCTGCTGTGAGGGCAGGGGACTGGACTCAATGACCTCCCAAGATCCCTTCCAGTTCTATGAGATGGTATATCTCTATATTCTTATTATTATAAAATTAGAAGCTTGTTTAGGAGACAACAAAAAAAGTAAGTCCAAACAGGGGTTCTTGCATTGCAAAAGTTTGAGAACTGTTATAGGAGAAGGTGAGGAAGGGTTAGCGTGACAAGAATTAGGCCGGTCTGTGGGTCCAGAAAGAAACAGGAGTATTTGGAGGCTGGGAGGTCAAGGAAGAATAGGGAAGAGTTATGGATCTGACCAGGGACAGCAACATGGAGATTAGTTTCAGAGGGGTAGCCATGTTAGTCTGTCTGGAAAAACAATAGGAAGTCCTGTGGCACCTTAAAGACTAACAGATTGTCTGGGCATAAGCTTTCGTGAGTAAAAACCACTTCATCAGATGCATTCATGGAAATAGGGAGTGGATCAAGTCTCCACTATAAGCACAATTTTCCAGGCTCCAGATGGGGATTCTGTATTGTTAGGGTCACAAATTTCAAGTGTTCTCAACTCGATTCAGTCCATTTTCTGTGAATTGGTGAAGTTCAGTGCTTTTGGGTCTGCAAACAGGCTGAGACCTTCTTTCATCATTTTACATTGAGTAGGCGATCTTTTAAAATCAAAAGGCCTTGAAATATTCTAAAAAGTAAACTTGGCTTCTAAAAATATAGTGAAATCTGCTTGAAAGTTCCAGGGTCTGCATAATACTATGTGTATACTCATGCATATGCAGATTCATGGTCACTGTTCTGAATAATTGATCCCTCTGTAGATTTAAAGTGTGCAGAAGACCATGACTCTTGCAATTAAAATAATATTTTCCCTTGTAGGTATGGATATCACATTTCAAAGACCTCTTATTTCTTGTGCTATGACCCTTCTACTATCAAAAGGATATTCGAAAAGCTTCGGAACTTTGATTCCCCAAAATCTTATCCAAAGTCTTGTGGCGCTTATGATATATTACATGTACGGGATGTTACCACTGGCTATGATAGTAGCCAGCTTAACAAGAAATCGGTGAGTTACACAATACTTTGTGAGAGAATTAATCTAGTAGCTAACATTTTAACCCTTTGTTTTCTGAGCCTGTCAATAGTACATTAAGTTAATTTTGTGATACAGAAGGATACTGTACAGCTAATATTTGGGATATCAATGTAGGGCTTGTCTACACTTAACCACAGTGACACAGCTGTAGCACTTCAGTGTACACACTATCCACACTAATAGGAGGGGTTCTCTTGTCAGTGGAGGTAATCTGTCTTCCCATGAAGTGGGCGCTATCTCGATGGAAGAGTGATTATATGCTATATGATTATATAGTATCTTTTCTTGACAATAAGTGATAGACAATTAAATCCATCACATTAAAGTCTTCCCTATACTCTTTCACATAAATAATAAACTAGAACAACTTTAAACAATGTTCACAATAATGCTCATATCTATCACCATTAGCAGAAGGCCACTAGCCTAAAGCACAGACTTGATGATTATGTAATTGAACTATGTTTGGTGAGATAGAAACAAGTGTCCATTCTATTAAGATTTTCAACTATGTTCCCAATCAAACTTTTAAAATCAAAACTCGTAAATGAAACAGGTGACAAAGTTTATGACCAAGTCTTTTATTCAAGATGCTAATTAAAGGAAACTCATTTAAGTTATAGAAAGGTTCAGTAGCTTCAAAGTAATTTAAACACCTTGGATTAAAAGGATACGAGTAGCAGATAAAATCTTTCATAAACAATTGAATTATCCATGAAACAATGTTTTATATTTTCTACAAAGATATCCATGAATTAATTAAAATAGTTTTACACATTGATGACTAAGGCCCAGTCTATATTAGAAAATTGGATTGGTTTTAACTATATCTGTCAGAGGGATGTGAAAAATCCACATCCCAGAGCAGCTATAAGTTGGCTAAAGTCCCCATGTAGACAATACTAGGTCATCGGAAACTAATTTTCATATTGTCCACTTTGCAATGTGTCAGTTTGTATGCAGTGAATAATGGTTAATATAGCAAGGAGTTGAAAATGAATGTTGATATAATGTTTTAACCTGTATGTTAGGTGTTGCCTGTGAGTAAAAACAGTCAAATGATCACCTTCACCTTTCAAAATGGGTGTGTTGCCACCCTCCGGACAAGTGGAACTGAGCCAAAGATCAAGTACTATGCAGAGATGTGTGCACGGCCTGAGCGGAGGTGAGGGTTTCTCCTTTCTGCATTGCATAAACATTAGGTTTGCTGAATCTGTCTTTTTTTTTTTTCCTCTACATTGCTCAGTCTTTTTTTCTTGAACAGGGCGTATTGGAGCTGCACCTTCATCATTAAAACATTTCCACAGACCTGTAGGAGGACATGCATTAGGAGAGACACATACTCCAAAAATAAGAGCTTCCCCAACCTAGTTGTTGGCTATAATGCACATAACTTGACGGACAGATGTTTACAGGCTGTTCAGCTGCCTCCCCAGCCACTGACATGCATGGATTTGCTCAGGAGGGTTAACTGCTAAAACTGTGTTAGCAGTGGATAAAATGGACGCGTTAAATGTCACAAGTTTGCTGTTCAGTCTGTTTCTTCCCCTGCCCCCAACTTTCATCCAGGAGCAAAGGCTTTTCTTTCACTCCTAGTCAAGCTCTGCTCATACTGAGAGGTCCAAGAACTGCAGGAGGCACCTTCCCATCCTTCTTGTAGGGATAACCTAGGATGAATATAGTGTGAAATGGCTATGAAATGTTTGCTTCAGTGAGTTGTGCAGCAGTATAAAACTCTCCTCCCTCTGACAGTGGTTCTGGTTAATCTCTTCCCACTTTGTTTTTTCAAAAAAACCAAACAACTCCTTTTCAGTGTCCCAAATGCCCCTTTTTGGGGAGAAACATTTATACCACCATGTGCCATCTATTTTGTCAGTGTTTATTGCTCTTGGAAGGAAAGGGTTTAGAATGGCCACACTACTCCCAGGTGAGAGCCACCTAGACTTTAAGGCCCTTCCGTGTTTGAAAAGTAAAGACAGACACGTCAAGTGGCCTTATTTTCAGGGTGCAAAGCATGCTCATTCCATGCAGTCAGTCAGCCATGGGTGCTCTGCCCTTGGGAAAAGTCAGGTCTTGTATTTAAGCGCATATGTTGGTATTTATGCAACTATCACCAAATTTGAATATATTTAACTTCCAGTTTACACACTGCAGTTAATAACTGCTTATCATAGTGAGGCAATGGTGGTCCTTGAATAAATTTCTGTTTGACTAGAGCTAGGATAATAGCAACTCAAAGTGGACTGTAACAGTAATTATTGTTAACAGTAATTTTCTGAATTTTGAACCTTGCCAGCAGTTCTTTATTTGATTGCATATGATCTTTGTAGACACTCATGGGGATGCATGTCAGTTTGGCAGCTCTCAATCCATTTAAGACTTTTTTCCCTTCAAATCTGAAATACTGCACGAACAAGCTGACTTTCTATATACTTCTGATGTGTTTTTCCTGCTTAAGAGAGGAAGCTGAAGAAAATAAGTGAGGCAAATTATCTTTGTATGTCCAGTAATCTGCCAGCAAAGACATTTGCTGGAACTCATATAGACCATATTACAGATATATATGATGCAACTGAGGGTTGTAAATGGACAAGAACAGTGTAGAGAGGAACAGCAATAAACTACAAGTAGTCCTGTGGCACCTTTAGAGACTAACGTATGTATTAGATCATAAACTTTCATGGGTAAAATCCACTTTATCCGATTATAAAGTTTTACCCATGAAAGCTCATGAATGTAATATATTAGTCTCTAAGGTGCCACAGGACTGCTCCTTGTTTTTAAAGATACAGATTAACACAGCTAGCCCTCTGAAACAATGAACTAGTTACTCAGAAATGGCCTGATCCAAACCTCACTGCAGTTGATCGAAAGACTTCATTGGTTTGTTTGGGCTTTGGTTCAGACCCCGAACATGTGCGCATGTCTTGCTGGTTTGGATTGTTTTAGTCATCAATGCAAAGAAATAGCTTAATTTTCTGTAAAGAATTAACTATTTGAAAGTCTAAAAAGAGTGTGTGTTTTAACTCTGCAGGATAGAAGGGCTATCAGTACCTTCTACTCCAGAATTTAAGATCAGCACCTACATAACAGAAAAGCACTTCCTCCCTGATATAATAGCACTGCTCAGCTAGATGAATGGTAAAGGTTGAATGTTTCCCTCTGAAGCATTATCCT